GCCTCAGAGTTGAAGTAGGTGGCGAAGCTACGCAGCGACTCTCCCTCCGTCTGACGGATATTGAGGAGTTGAGTTGCCGGACGCCACTGGCGCTAGGCACCAATGAAGTGGTTGAGAAAGGAGTCACTTAGGTGCTGAAAAGTAGAGACCGAGTCCGTCGACAGCTGACTAAACCACAGTCAGGCCGACCCCTTAATCGTTACGGGGAAAGCCCAACACATGATCTCATCAGGGAACTCATGGAGGACCATGAAGGTCCTGTAAGTCTCCAAATGGTTTACTGGGTCCGTTGTACCGTCAAAGAAGTCGATCGAGGGCATTTTGAACTTAGGAGGTAGAGGTTTGTCCCTGATAGAGGCAATGAATGGTGAGTTGGCTGTGGTAGAAGGTTTATTCTGTATGTTCTGCATGACTCCTTGAAGCTGGAGTTTCATGGCTCAGAGTTCTACATCCCAAAGAGGAACGTTGTCACCACCGGAATGCAATGGAGGCTGGACGCTACTGGCCTCTCCCTCAGGGGCTGGTGTTTGGACCGATAGATGTGGGGCCCAAGGTGGCAGGTTCATATCCTGGGGAGGGAGTCGCAAGCCCTCCAAGTTGGATGGGTGGGATTGTTGGAGGGAATGGCTCGGGGCTCGTTCCCGGTTGGGTGGTATGTCTTGAGGTGGTGGTGGGGGGATAGGAAGGTTTTTTTGAAGTAAAGCATTGATCAGGGCTTGGTTTTGTTCGGCTAAGTGGTTAATGCTGTTGGTGAATTCTGTGAAATACTGCGACACAGTTGTTACTCACAGAGTTTGGCTACAGTATGCTAGAGCGTGCCTCCCCAGTCGCCAACCCTACACAGTTAACAGATTGAACACACCAGGCTACACAGCTGGGAAAGATAATAACTTAATCCCTAATTTGCCTTGGTGTGTTCTACATCTATATCCTCAATAAGATGTCTTAAACTAGGCCTAAGAATGCTTACAATGGGATGAGGATGCAAAGATGTACTTTTAAAAGTATTTTCAGATTTTTCAGAAAACAGAGGTCACGCTCGAGCGTAGGTCACTCCGCTTGAGCGAACATGCAGACAAAAGTACCCGCTCGAGCGGTAAATCCCCCGCTTGAGCGTACTGCAAAAGTACTGGATGGGTGAAATCTCCGCTCGACGGATGCTCGATGCCCGCTCGAGCTTGAGACACAAGACTCTACTCGAGCACCCAGTCCTCCGCTCGAGCAGATTGTAAAACAGTGCAGAGATACTGGATGCTCGGATTCCACGCTCGAGCGTCACCTTCCCCCGCTCGAGCAGAAGTGCAAAATCTGGAAATTCAAGATTGCACCTCCAAGCTCAAACTCAAGCTCAAATGCATCAAAACCGATCCTCTTGGGCCCATTTTCTGGAAAACTCTTATAAACTCATAGTTAAACATGATTCAAAACTCAATTTGAGAAGTCAAAGCCCAAGGGTGTTTAATCAAACCCAATTTCAAACCAATTTTTCAAGAACAATCCTCAAACATGACATGCGTGATCTTCAAATAACTTTCAAGCTTCAAAACATGCTCTAATGAGCCAATTGATTCACAAACATGATGAAAACATGGCCTACACTCAAAACATGGACATGCATGTGACGATTTGCCAAGAACTCAACTCAAAATCCAACAATACTAACATGCATGCAAGGAATGAGCTTCATTTCAACAACAATGAACCAAAACATGACTTAGTTCTACCATGAAGCATAAATCATGCAAGAACTAGCTCAATGACAACAATAAGGAGATGAGTTTCCTACCTCAGTCTTGTATTCAAGGTTTAGGAGCTCAAATATGAAATCTATACTTCAATCCTCTCAATCCAAGCAAGATCAAGCAAAAGAGATGAAGACACTCTCACTCCCTCTCTCAAGTCGGTGGTATGCTTAAAATGAGCTGAGCAAAAGTGTTTTAATTCAATGTATAAGGCTCAAAAGGGCATAGATAATGGCCACTAAGTGGTCTAATTGTAATTAAGTCAAACTTTGCAATGAACCCAATATTTAATCTAATTTAATCATACTAAATCAAATTTCAGGTAAATACACCATAAAATCACATTAATTATGAGGGTCGAGAAACCTCAATCAATTCCCGGATTCGGCCGCCGATAGGGCCTTCAATTAACAGTTAAAAGCATAAAAATGTGAACAGATAATCAAACAGATAAATGCACAAGTAAACAGATATACTCAGTCAATTCAGTTCTAGATTTCAGTTAGTCAGTTCAGTATTTCAATCAGTTCGCTTATCAGTCATAATCAATTTAGTTTAACGGTAATCAGTGGTTATGCGGTAAACAATGGTAACGGTTATTACATGTAGACCAGCCATGAAAGCCATGACAATGACCTTGTCATCATTTTCTGCCACCTGCAAGGCCTCAGAGTTGAAGTAGGTGGCAAAGTTGCGCAGCGACTCTCCCTCCGTTTGACGGATGTTGAGGAGTTGAGTTGCCGAACGCCGCTGGCGCTAGGCACCAATGAAGTGGCTGAGAAAGGAGTCACTTAGGTGCTGAAAAGTAGAGACCGAGTTCGTCGACAGCTGACTAAACCACAGTCAGGCCGACCCTTTAATCGTTACGGGGAAAGCCCGACACATGATCTCATCAGGGAACTCATGGAGGACCATGAGGGTCCTGTAAGTCTCCAAGTGGTTTACTGGGTCCGTTGTACCGTCAAAGAAGTCGATCGAGGGCATTTTGAACTTAAGAGGTAGAGGTTTGTCCCTGATAGAGGCAATGAATGGTGAGTTGGCTGTGGTAGAAGGTTTATTCTGTATGTTCTGCATGACTCCTTGAAGCTGGAGTTTCATGGCTCAGAGTCCTGCATTCCAAAGAGGAGCGTTGTCACCACCGGAGGCTGGACACTACTGGCCTCCCCTTCGGGGGCAGTTGCTTGGATCGGTGGATGTGGGGTTCGAGGTGATGAGTTCATATTTTGAGGAGGGGGTCACAAGCCCTCCAAGTTGGATGGGTGGGATTGTTGGAGGGAATGGCTCGGGGCTCGTTCCCGGTTGGGTGGTATGTCTTGAGGTGGTGGTGGGGGGATAGGAAGGTTTTTTTGAAGTAAAGCATTGATCAGGGCTTGGTTTTGTTCGGCTAAGTGGTTAATGCTGTTGGTGAATTCTGTGAAATACTGCGGTGGGTTGTTCGGGTTAAGAGGGTCAGCTTGGGGGACGGCAACATTGTGTTGAGAAGCCATGGATCTAGTTGTGACCATCCACCTTGGTGGGTGGTAGGTAAGAGATATCACGAAGATGGTAGGAATGGGTCTCCGACGGTAATGAGTACAATTACCACACGGAGGGAAAGGGTTCCCACAGATGGCGCCAACTGATGAAGTTGCGGGCTCCAGATGGAACAGGTTGGATCGATCCACGCTTCCCAAACCGTCACCCAGGGGTTGAGCTCACAGTAAAACCTGCACAAGAGTTCAGTAGGGAACGGGGAGCTCCCCAGCGAACCCTCCGACGAGCAAGTTAGAGAAGAGTGATCGAATGTCGGGATAAAAATGGTGATAGAGAACTTAACCTTTTCTTTGTCTGAAGAGCCTGCTTATATCCTTTGCTCATCATTTCCTTGTCCACTCGGGGCTGACACATTGGCTGAAAGTCTATGTTCTAGCTTACCTTGTTCATGGTGAGGCTGTTCCGTTCTGGCGTGAAGGGTTATCGTAATAAATGCTGCAGGGAAGCTCATTAATGGCTGATGTATGGTGCAATAACTCTATAGGATCTTTGTCTGCTGATGTGGCTAGCTCTTTACTTGCCAAGTGTTTAGATGTCAATGGTGCTTGGTGTAACGTTAAGTTTTAGGAATGTTGGGCTTTAGTATTTGAATCATGGATTGGGCCTTAAGTAGTGGGCCATATCCTTTATGGGCTTACCCATGTCAAATACTATGAGGCTAAATGCTTAATTGATATAATTGTTCGAATGCCTGTTTATGATGACTAATTGCTTGAATTGAAATAATATGATGAATGTGCATATGAGATCACTTTTTCAAGTGGTACATATTCAAAATATTTTCAAACAAACATGAAATCAAAGTGTTCCAATTTTTGTAAATTAATCTATATTTATGTGCATCACATAGTAAAATTAACCTAATAATCGGAACAATAGCATATAATGTAAATAAGAATCACATCATGATTAGTAAAGGCTGATCTTTAATCGGGCAAGTAGGGTGCTCAATTCATGACCTTCCCCTCTCGCACCTAAGTTCCTGAGCCAAGACACCTAAGTTCCTGAGTTGAAACACTTTGGTGATGACGGATAAATGACCTTTCGCACGAGTCTCGGGTTTCCTAAATTTTTCAAAAATATTTAGGTGACGACTCTGAAATTTAGTAAAGCAGTCCATATTTGGCATTTTGATTCACAATCGATTTTCCAAAAGATTTGCTAGATTTGAACACATTTATGTTTATCTATTTCACATTGCAGTTGTAGAATCAGATTCAGAACCACATGAGTCCAAACTGTAAGACTAGTCGTATTCAAAAGGAGCACGAAAAGCAAGCCACAACCAATTTTATAATATGGTATAAATACATCTATATTTTTTGGATCAATTAAAATACATTCCAAAGTTGAGCAATTAGGCTGCCCAAACTTATCTATACTTGTTGGGTCTGCTTTGTTTGGGGTTTTCGAGATTGAAAAATTCAACAGATTCCCACCCCCAGTGACCCCCAACATCACGTGGCTGTGAGTGATTGAAAAAAAAATAAAATAAAATAAAAAATAAAAATGGCCTATGCAAAAAAACTGGGGGTGCCCCCCATTGGGGTCCCCAGCACAACTGTTTGAGATAGATTGCATAATTATGAGCCTATTATAAGGCATAATTTTATAAATCATTTTTTAATTTGTTTCCTCCACTTAGTTAAATTTTGATAAATTGTTCTAAAAATTGTGTTTGATATTTCCTTTCTTGTTCTAGTTATCATTATATCAATAGAATTCTTTTTTTCTTCTCAATGAAATTTTCATTTAAACCTAAAAAACATTACAATATTCATCATCCAATTGGAGCACGGAAATGAATTCCATTATACATAAAACTGGCAACACTTTCTGCCAAAATACAAAACTACTTTCTAAATCAACATGCTCTTGGAGGCAGAGTTATTCTTCTATCTGCTGATATCATCACCATCAAAAGAACAGTTGGAACCACCTTGTGGCATAACATTTCTTACTACCCTATATTCAGTGACCATTGGTCAGTGATCCATTCTCGCAAGCAGTGGTGGAAGCCTTCTTCGCATAGAATCTTCGGTACATAGAGTCGACTTCAGTGAGATAGTAGGTGCCGGGAGCAAGAAGGCTGCAGTCCTTGCTGGTCACGAAGTCCTTTGCCCCATACCTATGCTCCATCACCTTCATGGTTTCGACAAATTTTTCTGGTGGGAACTGCATGGAAACATGCTCATCAGAATATGAAAGAGAGCTTAAACCGAAATAAACAAATCTTGTTCAGCTAACCACAATATGATTGGGTGGTAAATTTTGAAGACAGATGCCAACGTGGCCTTAGCCAGATGAAAACCTATCATTAGCTTTGGAAGCCTAGGGTGAGGTACGTGTGTCCATTACATGGACGTGAAGACCTTTTGGCCTCACAGATGTAATTGATAAATTTTTATTATCACTATTTAGTAAGATTTAAATAAATAAAACTGCTGTTTGGTGTAACTTAAATAAGTTGATTATTGAGAAACAGGGGAAAAGGTGCTTTAGTTTATGTTTTTTGCTTATCTGACTCCAACTTGCCCAAAGCTCCACCAAATATGCCCAAATAGTAGTACGATATTTTGATTTTGTTTCCAAATAATATTAAGTTGGTTTCCTAATTTAATTATATCATTAAATAATAGGTTTCTCATTATATCATTCGGATTTAGCTCAATAATATTGTTTTAGATTGTACTTGCCACTTTGTGTATTCCTTCTCTCATTCCGCTATTCTGTTCCACATCACAGGAAGTAAACCAAAACTGAAGAAGTATATACCTCATGCCTTGACTTCAACTTCTTGTCAACATTCATCACAGCTGCAATGTTTGACAAGCTAAAAGGATGCTGACACTCACGAACTCGGAAGGAAAACATAGTGGCAGTTAAACCACTGCCATATGAGAACATTACTATTCGCTGGCCCACCTGCAAGTAAGAAAAACCGATAGCATGTTAGAGGAAAGACACTAAAATTTTAAGTGCCAAACCAAAGGCCCAACCAGAGAACTAGTTTAAGCATTTACCAATGAACTGTGCTTCTTGTGAATAAGCGATGCAAATGCTGCATAGAGAGATGCAGTGTACATGTTGCCAACTTGCTTTGGTACCAATGTGGTCGGTTGCACCTTTGCATCATACAGTGCCTTCGCAACTTGCTGGGTTGCCTGCAGTTACATTGATATCAAGTGCTCATCAGCAAGAGTGTCCAATCTCAGGAATCATTATATTGCATTACTCAATTTGTTTGCCTTATTAACCAGGAAAATGTAAGTCTAGGCAAAACTAGAGAATGAATGCAAGAGAGAGATTTGAAATACATGCTAGGAGTGAAAACAGACCTTCTCGAGATCACGGCTTTGGTAGCTTTCATCGCCAGTTAGAGTTGAAAATGGAGCTAGCTTTTCTTTAGCAGCCTCATTTATAGAGCTGTGAGTAAAAGCAAATAAAATCAGTCACTAGATAAAAGTGCATCAAGTGGATAAAAAGCAGTCAACATTTAAAGGTTTCATTTTAGAGGGATGAAGAAAATATCAGAACCTTGCATTCCTCAAGAAATCATTGAACAACAACCGTGCAAAGCTCTTCTGAACAAGCTGCAGTAATTCAAGTGAAAAGTTCAGAAATACTATTTTCCAAATTCAAATGGTAAACAAGAAAAAGAAATTAATTGTAGAGTTGAACTGTTACAGATAAACTACCTTGTTGTATGGAGAATGAAACACAAAATAGTCAGCATCATCAACTGAAAATTGCTTGCCCTCGAATTTCTCGTACCTATATAATAAGCAAGACTGTAAGGAAATCACGTAGCAGAAATAATCACTTTGTCAATATCAAAACAAAGAAAACAGTATGCAGTAAATCAAAAGCAGCTTACTTATTACAGAGACGATTGTAGCAAGAATCAACTGCCATAAGATAACAAGTCTGTGAAAGCTTTCCATCAACAACCTACAAAAAGTAACCACAGATGAAAATCACAAAAAAACCTACAAAAAGTTATTGGCGGCGTGGAGTAACTTTTGTTGTCGATAAACAAGATACCTCCAAAATAGTTTGTTGTCGATAAACAAGGTTTTACAATGAACTGCCACAACTCTTTTGTTTTGTTTGATATTTGCCAGGGTAATCAGTATAATCAACTGAAATCTTTGGATTATGGCCTCCACATTTTACGGGGCCAGTAGCAAGAAAGATGTGAACACAACAAACACAAAATATACAGGTATATTGCAAATTTATTTTTGTTTATTTCCCAAAGTCATAAACTTCCAGAGAAATTGTGAATAGGTACATCAGTTATAACTGATACCCCCTCTGTCCAATATTATTTGTCCATCTTTCCATTTTTGGATGTCCCAAAATGGTTGTCCCTTTTGAAATAACTTCACATTTTTCCAAAACTATCCCTTATAAATGACAATAAATATATTTAATAATCGGAATAAAGGGGAAATTTGGGAAACTAATGCCATTAAATTTGAATTTGATTCATCAATTACACGTCCCCTTAACTCCCAAAAGGGACAAAGGGAGTGTTATAATGAAGGAAGGTTTCTACATCCCTCTTTCATTAAGAAGATAGTTTTGTAGACAAAACAAGCACAATGATATGAATTACGAGAGATACTACGATGCAAACTAGACAAAACCATACCGTACAAGGGCAATAATTTTGAAAGTTATTTTATAATGTTTTCCCAAATCAAAATGGAAAGATTGTAGTTTCCAAAAAAGTATTTCTCTACTTGACATGGCCATACCAATACAGCATGAAATACTTTGGCCTAACAAGAGCTTTCACATTTGGACCATAGTTGCCAATTTACTTGTAAAGCACACAATTTTGAGCAAAATAATGTAGAACTTCAACTAAATGTACATACGCTACTTATGCAAACATGCCCAGATGGTAGGTTCTTCCATCACATATTCCATTTTTGTGTATTGAAAAGTAGACAAACAATTAGATAAGAATCCAAATGCCTTCTATTATTGTTTTTTGGATCCATGATAAAAGTACCCATTACAATGCACAAAGCACTGGTACCTTCGATGCCATGACAGAATTTAAAGGAAGTTCAGGGAGAATTACCGGATATTCACTTGCAAGGTTGGGCTTGTAAAAATCATAGACATGAGACATATGGCTTCCCCTGATTTTGCTTTCAAATGCTATAGGTGCATCAGGCCCTATAAGCATAGCAATAGCAGCTGCTCCCCCAGTAGGTCGAGCTGGCCCCTCAGCATAGACCTGTTAAAGAAAGTCCCCAATAAGAAGATAGAACATAATTGCCCATGAACGGGTTGGGGAAGATCTAAAGCTACATATAAAATTATACATGCACATACAAAACTAAATTATTCTGCAGTGTAAAAATATAAATGTTACTCATAAATCTAAAGTTTCCTGTTGTAGTAACATGGTAAATCATCATACAAAACTATGATTTATAATAAAGAAGCAATCCCAACATATGAAAGGAAAGCAAAGAAAATCAATGGACAAGTTCTAGCAGTAATTAGGACAATATCCTACTCAATTGATCAACAATGGCTAATCTCAGACTCCCAGTCATGCAGCTTCTGTTTCATAATGAGCTATTTCTAAACTTCAAATCTCAAGCAAGTTTTTTGGCAAACAAGTTTAAATGCACTGGTGTTTCAAGAAAAAAGTTAAAAAAAATAAAGGAAATGATCATACCGCACTGTCTGTGCACACCACAAGTCCATAGCGTCCATCCCATGAACTACTCTCCACCCAATTGACGCAGTTTAATAAAGCTGCAGTCCCTCCATAGCAAGCATTGGTTGAGTCAACGCCTTCAATGTCGGTATTCCCAGTTTCCTGCTTGTATAACATGAGAACAGAGAGCAGAATAAATATGTGAACACAGAATCAATAGGACATATGTAATAGCAAAACACAAATTGCAATGTAGACCAAAATTTACAATAAAGGAGAAGGAAGCCAATCTAGAACTGGTCACTCAAACTAGAGAACTTATGAGTCTATGACTTAGTAAAGGAGCATGCAATAAAATAATTAGGAAACTGATCATGGAATTAATCTAATTGAATCAGGCTCAGGTCTAAGTGGCTTCGACCATTCAAAAACCACCTCCTAAATTAGATGTTCTTCTAAGTTTTAGAGCTAAAACCTAGTGGTAAAACCAGTTGATAGTTCAATTTATTTGATCATCCTGTACCCTCAACCAATTGAGGCTCCATCATACAGTCACAAGCAGTGAGTCCAATCACATCATTCCAATAAGAAGAAATGTGACAATTTCAAAAGGAAAAGCGCATCACTATCATCATGATAAGGACTCATACCTCAAAGATTTGCATAAGGAAAGTCTTAATGGACTTGCTCTTGTCTATAACAGTCTCACTGCCTACTTCCAGCCGACCAATTTGTTTTGGATCAATTCCATACTTCTCGAGGAGGGAAGTAACAGCTGTCAAACTGAAAATCACAGAGTTAATGACAAGATCACATCCATGTAGGCTACTAATAAAATATCAATCACTTTGATCTATAAGTTCAAATAACTTCCTAACTATGAATATTTTCAAAGTAGCTAAACTGTGACACTAGCTAAAGTGATACTGCTAAAATCATAGCAATAGATTAGACCAATATTAATTATTTTAACAATTTATTCCACAAGATTCTGGTTTCAATAAATCATATTGAGGTTGGAGCACTGACAAAGTTTTACTTTTATTACTTAAATTGAATAACAGGAACTTACTTCTAATAACAGGTTTTCAAGTCAAATAATTGATATTTTTAATTAACAAAACATGTTTTAAGATCCAATGAAGAGAAAGCAGCTGTATGATATTAGTGATGAATGACAATGATTTAACTTTGCCAAAGTACCTCATAGATTTTCTTAAGACCAGATCAAACATTTATAAAAGTTTGAGTAGATTGTCAGGAAGAAAAATTAGTTTAATGGAAAACAATTCATTTTAACGGCCATTCGTAAGCATAGCAATGATATGATGAAGAGGTCCAAACCTCATGGAGATGACATCTTCCACCTCGGTACAAAATGCCAAACAATCTTGTCCAAGTCCAATTGTGTATTTCCCTTTGCTTACCCCATCATGAGCCTCCAAAGCTTCCTATATAGCACAAATTGGAAGCCAAATGAGAATTTCCATTGCCGATGCACGTTCACTTACATTGTTTAAAATTTAGAAGTATATAATTAGAAGGACCAACAAGATTGACAGAAGAAAACAACAGAATACCTTTTTTCTTTTTCTTTTTCTTTTTTTTAACATCAGAAGTAAGTGGAAATAGAAGTGAAGTTGAAAAAACTTCACAATCACAAATAAACAATCATACAAAATAGATCATGCAAAATATTAACTCGAACCACATGGCTAATATATTTTTAAATACTTTCTGAAATTCATGGTTGTAGATCCTTAAACAATTAACAATGAGATTTGAAAGTGGATCAAATCCTTAGAGCTAGAAATTACAAATCCACAGCAGACGCAAATCTAAGTGTCCTACTGTGAAAACTAATATGCTTATAAATATATGCAAATATACACACACACATATGATCTTAACGAAAACGTGGAATGGAGACTCGAGGTTTTACAGAGATTTTCAAAAAATAGTTTCCAGAAATTAACATACAAATTTTATTTTCCACGCTATCTCAACTTCATCATTTCCAAACAAAAACAAAATTAATGTTCCCAGTATGATTATTTCAACCGAACACGCACAAATAGAATTTGCATGAGCAAGTCATAGATTAGATGCAGTCAGTATACATGTACTAGTGTTGTGTGCGCTTTGAGATTTCAGGGAGAGAGAGAGAGAGAGCAACGATGCTGATCGAATCAAAGAACAAAGTTCGATAAATGAAAGATGAGATTTGTTTACCTGCTGGACACAAGTAGGAGGGAAATAGATTTCCACAGCGAGAATTCCAACATTTTTCTGCTGCGATGCCATGTCCTCTGTTTTCTTGCCTCAAATTCTCGAGAAACAAACAGATCGAACGTGTTTTCCCTCACCAGTTCCTCTGTAGAGAGAGAGAGAGAGAGAGAGAGAGAGAAAGAAGTGTTGGAATCCTGCAAAATCGCAGAGAACGAACAAACGAGGGAGAGAGAGAGAGGGGTGCGAGGCTCACATGATTCGGTTAGATATATATACATATATATATAGGGAGACAAGTGCAAGCGCAGTCCTCCCTCAAATGCATTCTTCGTGAGTTGAGAGCCAGGTGTCACCATTTTTTGTTTTTACATTTCATGCCCTTTTTTTTTGTGTGTGAAGATAAATGTTCTTACCAATAATCTTATTCATGTATTTAAAAAACTTATGTGAATTTATTTTGAAGTGGTAGGTGGACATCATTAATAATTTTAAATAGGTAAGATTGTTAATACTTATAAGAATAAAATTATTGTTATGTCAAAGTCCAATAAATTAAAATAAGTATCAAAATTATTTTATGATGAAAAATCTTTCAAAATAAAAAGAGTTTAGATTCATTAATGCCAAAACAATTTTCAATACTTACAATCACTCACAAACTTTTTAGAATTACCAACAAATCATGAATCTCGATTAAACTTAAAATATCTATAATTGGTTGCGAATAATTATGGTTATTAAAAATATAATAAGAATTTATATATATATATATATAACCGCTTTTTGCATCGATAAAGTACTATGAAATTAATCAGGACATCAACACAAAATATTTTTATGTCCCATTATGCGTGGGCAAATGGAGGGTTGTGATTGTGAGAGTAGCAAAAAAATAATTATGAAAGAATACCTTGACGGAAAAAAAAATTTAAATGAATAAAATTTTCATATTTTTTGCAATGGCTATATGTCGATGCAAAAAAAGAAAAAAAAGGTTAAATTTATTAAAAAATAATACAGCTTTAATTTACTAACCTGAGATGTATGAAAAACATTCATTCGTCTACTTTCATATCTAAATACATGTAATTAATAAAAATACACAAGTTTTCCTTACCCACAATACATTGGGAAATTTATTAAAAAATTATTTTCCAAGTACTTGTATCTTAATTAATCTATAAAATATTCTTATATTTCAATAAGAAGAAAAAGAGGGAAAAACCCATGTATTTGGGTTGGGTCTCCATGGATACTCACAGGGTAGGTTATCCATTGTCATCCCTAATTATGCGTGGGCAAATGGAGGGTTGTGATTGTGAGAGTAGCAAAAAAATAATTATGAAAGCATACCTTGACGGAAAAAAAATTTAAATGAATAAAATTTTCATATTTTTTGCAGTGGCTATATGTCGATGCAAAAAAAGAAAAAAAAGGTTAAATTTATTAAAAAATAATACAGCTTTAATTTACTAACATGAGATGTATGAAAAACATTCATTCGTCTACTTTCATATGTAAATACATGTAATTAATAAAAATACACAAGTTTTCCTTACCCACAATACATTGGGAAATTTATTAAAAAATTATTTTCCAAGTACTTGTATCTTAATTAATCTATAAAATATTCTTATATTTCAATAAGTCCTATTATTTTGAACGTTTGATCCACAAAATCATAATTCTCATATTTAAGGTATTTTATGAATAATTTTACTCTTACAAATATTTTTTAAATATTTAGCAATTTGGTGACGAGAGATTTTATGAATAAATGCCCCCAATATAAGAAAATAATTTGAATTAAATGAAATAGAAGAGAGATTTCATAAAACTTATTAAAATATAAGAAAATAATTTAAATTAAATAGAATTAAGTAAAGAGAAATTTTATGAATAAATGCTCCCAATACATTCAATCAATATTCAAATAACAACACAAACAATTTTCTTCCATCAATAAACATTTAATGTTTTGAGTTGCTCATTGTTCGGCTCAGTTGGTGGTAGGAGTGCAAATTTGGATGGAGGAAGTTTCTTTGTCAATATTGAGTGCGATTTTCTTTGTTATTTCTCATATCTCTTTGTAAGATATTGACTTTTGATTTTACTCAAGTCTCGTTTAAAAACGCGTTATTTTAGTAATTTTTTAATTTTTTATGAAAAAATATGTAAAACAATAGAGAGAGTGATATGACAATTTATAATAATTTTTTAACTTTTTAATTAAAATTGAAGGTTGCCTCCATGTAAAAAATATAGTATATATTTCAAATTGATTATCAGCACCATCTTGTTCAATCTCGAGTAACTAAACACAATATTTGATTTAGTTTTAATTATTTGTCAAAATAAAAATTATTATTACAAGAAATTGATAGTTGCACAGTCACTCTTGCACACTTTCGCATCCAACCTTCCTCGTCAACTTTTTAAATTTTCAAACTTATTTACTTTTAAATTTAATTTTACTTTTATCTCTTAAATTATTATTATTTTTTTTATTTCATCCATAAATTACCAATTTCATCTATTTAGTGTTTAAAGTTTTTTATTCCAATTAATGTGATCCAATTGAAAACGGTTGTGCAATTTTTATAACTTTATTTGATCAACAAAAAAATCATTTCAAAATTTGAATAGTTTAAATCATTTCATTTTTCTTATCATTTTAAACAAATTACACTTCATAACCAATTTGATGAGTGTCTAGTTGTATGGTTAATTTATTCAAATTTTAAAATAGTGCTTTTAATCATTAAATTTTGAATACCGTATCTAATAATTTTATACTCAAAATTATTCATTATAGTATTATAAATTTAAGAATATCAGTATTATATCAATATTTGCCAAACCCCATCTCCAAAATTCTATATATTTAAAAAAATTCACAAATTATATTTTGTAGTCAATAATCGAATTTTTATCCTTCAACAATCTGACCATGAAATGTTAACAAATTGTTTGAAATTTCATCTATCATCAAAAAAATATAAAAATAAAATACAGACTTATTTGACCTTTTGAGTAGTCTAGTAACACTGAGGAGCACAGATCTAGGCTGTTGGGTTCACCATCACCGTCCAATAATACCCGCACATTGTCCATGATCAAATCGGGTTCGTTCTCTTGGCCAGTAAAAGATTGCTTGATGTAATTCCTACCGTTGATCTCTCAACCAGTCAACATTGCAAGGCGATTATTATACTTGCATTGGTTGGATTTATTATAATATAAATTAAGACACCCAAATTTGACTGCTTCACGCTAGCCAAAAGAAAATATTTAATTTTGACCGTTTCCTTGTTGCTCGTCAGAATTAGTCAAAGCAAATAATATCATACCAGACTTCAATTCAATCTATGTGGGCATCAAAAAAAATTAATTGCATAGATGATTTTTATATAATAAGTCATAAATATGAGATAAAAAGAGAGAACAATTACTAGTTGAATTTGTTCGGATCAAAATAAGTAAATCAATATTGGCAGTTTTATAATTTTTTATTCCAAAAACAAATTGGTCCCGGCTTGGTTTGAGTTGGAATTATAATTCCACTTCAATTTTTAAAAGAAATTAAATTTTCATTATGAAACCAAATTTTAGAAATATAATTCCTACAAAAATTATGTCACATAATTGGGTGTAACAAATTTTATCATGGTAAATTTTCACAACCGATTATATTAAGATGTATATTTAGGGGGTGTTTGATAATCAAATTTAATACTTAAAATTGAATGTATTAAGTGATAATCAATTAAGTCCGTCTGATAATCATAATTAATATCACTTAAAAATTTAAGTATCTCTTAAAATATAGGTTAAAATTTAAAAAATAATTAAGCCATATGAAACTTACTTAATTCTAACTAAATTTATAAATATTAAACATAACATTAATATAAACTATTACAAAATGTTCAAAAATATATACAATTACAAACTCACCACCACCACCACCACCACTATCGCTACCACTACAACTACCACTATTACCATTACCACCACCATTATGCCATCACCGCCACTACCAATACCACCACCGCTACTGCCACCCCCATCACCATGTGACTACCACCACTACCACTGTCGCCGCCCTCGCCACCGCTACTACCACCATCTTTATTACCATTGCTAAGCACCACCATCATTTTACTACCATTATCACCACTAGCACTATGCCTATGCCTATGCCTATGCCTATGCCACTGCCACCGCTACAACTACCGCTACCATCATGCCACCACCACTACCACAACTGCCACAACCACTACCACAACTACCACCACCTTCATCACAATTATTATTATTGTCAGAAGCATCACCATCATTTTACTATCGCTATTGCTACCACCACTACCACTGTCACAATATAAAAATTAAAATATACAATTTGAAAATACTAAATTTCAAATTTAATCTTATACGTATCAAATAACTTATTTTTAGTTTAACACTTAAATCAACAGCTTTTTAGCTTAAAAAATTCAACATTCAGTTTTCAATACTTAATTTTCAGTTTTCATCTTTCAGCTTTATCAAACACCACCTTATATATACTTTTTTTTTATTTTTTTTGGAGGTCAGGGTCAAAATTGGTGAAAAGTATATTTTTGAATGCATATGGCATTAATTATTATAAGCACATGATCAATGAAATATATTAATGAGAATTATAAATTATTATTTAATTTTTTTTTAACCCTTATAAATTTTGTATCTCTACTTTTTCTATCTATTCTCAGACACAAGTACTACTATCAATCGTTGTTCACCCCGCCGCTACACATTGTTATCGACCACCACCTACTATGGACGATGGCTCGCTCACCGACGGCCGATGGTGACCAACGGTAGTGGATAACAGTAGCGAACAAGTGGACACGAGGACAGATAGGTAGGCACTAGCGGACATAGGGGTGGCGGGACAATTTTAGGTATTTATAAAAGAAGTTAGTATTTTGGCCCGTCAAAATATATATAATTTTACTCCAACCCCTCCAAAATCTAAAGAATTTTACTTTTGCTATCCTAAATTTTGAAAAATTTCATTATTTTTATGCAATTTTTAGTAACTATAAAATAGATTAGTATTTTAGTCACCTAAAACCCTTGAAAAATCTCATTACTTTCATGTCATTTTGAGTTATAAGATAAATTAATATTTTGGTTTCTGAAATCTATATAATCTTACGTCAATTCCTCAAAAATCTAAATACTTTTGCTTTAGTCCCCCCTTTACACAATTTTT